TGACATAAGTTCGGAACATTGATTTGTGGACATTGTGACCCGATTTCTCATTAGAGAATTGGATAAGTAGATCCGTAGGGATTTACCTTCGAGCAGTGTTTTGCTCTCTACCCAATTATTGGGAGTGGATTGAGCGAAATTTCATGCACTATAATAGTGTGCGTTGAAATATCACGTGAAGTTAAAAGATTAGCGCTTAGAAGCTGCAAAATCTATTAACACTGAGTGAAAAGATTAGCGCTTAGTGGCTGCAAAATCTATTAGCATTGCCAACTTGTCTAAGTCTGGACACTTACTGTTTCCACACTTGAGTGTGAGACATGAGGAGGGGCTTCTTTGTATGATTCCTTAGCTAGGCTAACGTTTTTGAATGACGTTTACCACTAAGCACAAACGTTGCAGCATAATAATGAAAGGTCAAGGCTGACAAGGTTGTTATGACTCTAAGAATTTGATGCATGGCTCGTGAGAGTATTGTGTTGAATTAGACTCTTTAGCCTAATTCGCGCTTAAGTTACTTCAGGAGCTGTCATAGTTGATAGCTTATTCTCTCCTTCTTGTGGATGGTAGAATTAATTACAAGTAACTATGAAGCGAGAAATAGAGATGGTAAGAGGAGTATCGTCATCTTTAAGCTAGATGTAGTAAAGTGTATGAAGAATAAAATTGACTTGAAGGTGCAGGGGATTAGCACTTACTAGTTAAATTTGCGACTTAGGCGCACTTGATATCTCCATGATATCCTTTTATGATCTAGTGAATATGAATTAGTCGTGAGTCATTACCTAGTTGGACCTCAACCTTTAAAACTTGTCTTTGAGAACTCACACATTAAGATGATTGGAATTAGTTTATGACATTGGTCATGAACCAGTGGCTCATTATACTTAATCACATTAATAAGATGATGACATGATGGTTTGAGTAGGCCTTTTCGGGCCCACTCGCTTATGACATCCTGCTCTCATGTGAATATGTAACTTTGTTCGCAATGGGTGCACACAAGTAAGTAGGAAAGCCGTAGAAGGTCATTTATTTTGGCGCATTTAGTCCACTATGATATTTGTGACTAGATATGTGTAAGGGTATGATAGCTAAGCCTCAATCTCAACACATTTATAGATTACGATATGCATCTGAGTCAAGACTATTTGATCTCCCATAAGTCAAAAATTTTGAGATGATTTTTGACATTGCACATATGAGGTTGAGATCAATTAGATAACAGCTTTCGTGCTTTTAGTTTTGACTAAGGTGGCGAGTATATATTTGAGTTATTTTTAGAAAACTCTGTGAAGAGAGATGGATGCATAGAAAATTGATTATTCCTAGTACTCAACAACACAATGGTGTATTAGAGATAAGGAATTAAATATTGTTAATGTTAGGTGGATAATGGTGCAAAATGTTTTCCAATTGGAAATTGCACTAGTTTGTTGCCTATATCCCTAACTATGTGCCCTCCATATCAGATTTTACACTCCATTTGAGTAATAGGTTAGCGGAGAGCCATCTATGGGCGATCTGTAACCGTTAAGCCGCTTATCTTTATTTTACTTCTCATAAGATTGCGAAGTTAAGACCTAGGTTCTATAGCGCATTATTGTATGCTGTCTTGTAAACACAAAGGGTCGTGTGGCACATTATTGTATGCGGTGATGCAAACCCTCCGGGTCATGTGCATATAGGTAAGCAGCTTTGTGGTAGTGTAACTAAGTCACATAAAGTTTTATTAGTAAAGGTGACGTGAATAGAGTTTTTGGAACTCTATAAGATAGAGAATTCTAAGCATAGCGCTCTATGTAGTCTAGTTGAGAATGGAAAGAAATTTCCAATATCCTAGGGACAGTGGAAGCGATGTGCCTACTAATGGATTACTCCATTAGAGAAGAATACTCTACATTCTTAGTTGCGTGGTAGCGAATGTGAAAATTTTTCACGTCATCACTGGGTGATTGAGAGGGAAACGTTCATGATTGCTCCGCAAGATGATAAAGAGCCTAGGATAATGTCTAAGGCTCTAGTCCCCTATTTTTAAAAAGTGGATCAATGTTGCGCAGTTTAAGACAAAGTCTTTGAGGATTAACCATTTTTATAATTTGGCTGACTTTCCATTATGACGCGAAACTGTTCTAAAGTTATGCGTAATTTGGATAGTCAATGTTGAGGCATAAGGCTCGCTAGATACCGAAATGTCGCACCATTGAGGAAAGTGTAGACCATGAGAAGACTTCCTCCTGAGAAGTGAGGTTATTTTGACTTAGGCTATGATTGACATAAGTTCGGAACATTGATTTGTGGACATTGTAACGCAACTTTCTCGTTAGAGAATTGGATGAGTAGATCCGTAGGGATTTACCTTCTGCTTTTATGGTGAAAAGGAGACACTATTTCTGTTCTTTTTGGGTTGATGTCTCTATGTTAGCTCATATTGAGTTTCTAGTATAGAGCTCCCACATGCAGGTGTTCTCAGCAGTCGCACGGTGCAGTGGCTAGTACGAGATTGTTTATTTTTTGGGAAATTGAGTTAGAGATGTGGCAGTGTCATGCCAACTCATGTGCAAGTGGGAGATGTTAGTAATGGGCGCCCATGTGGCATTAGTCATTATGAGCCAGGAATTTATAAGGCTGTCGCCACCTAGGGCGGGCAGTCCTCTATTTTAGATATGATGGACATGGGTGATGTAATTTATATGCTCAGATGTACAATCCTTAGGGATTGCTTTGGGAGAATTCATGTTTTGTCTTCGATGACTTACATAAGGAATATCCTAGAACGATTCTAGATGCAAAATTGCAAACTCATTGACTTACCTATCAGTAAAAGCCAGAGCCTTAGCTATTGAGTGAATCTTCGGATTGTCTTTGGGAGAAACAGATGACTTATATTCCTTGATCTTTTCTTTGTTGTGGGTCAGATTCTGGAAGCACATGATTTACCCACGAGATTCTATCATCTAAAGGTATGATCTAAATATTTTATCCGCTACATTTTTTATACTTTGATTTACAGTTTCATAGAGAGAGAAGGAGGAGATGGAAGATAGAACAAAAGAGATGAGAGAAAAATCTAGAACCACCGTATATAAAAAGCTAATATCGCGTTCCCCGCTCAAGCGTGACTTCCCACGCTCAAGCGACCAGACACAATCAAGAAAGCCTGCTTAAGTGACAACTTCTTCGCTTGAGCGGAGAAAGAGAAACCTCAGTAGTTTTGTAGCGCTATAATGAAACTACTGAAAGCTAACATTTCACGCTTGAGCAGACACGCCTACAATGCAACAAAATACTAGGAGCAACAATTCTACGCTCGAGTAACGGTTTCCCCGCTCGAGCGGCCTTGAAAACAAAATGTCACATATTTGGTCCGTAAAAAATAATTTTATTCTTAAATTTTGATCTCTAAAATTTTAATTTTTTGTAGTGAGAAGTCTAACCCAAAAAGACATTTTTATCTTATTTTGTAAACTTTATCTGACACTCAATATCTATATATGAGTTGATGGAAGAGCTTCACCAATGATTAATTAAAACACTTCCTATTGTTAAAACAACAATGCTACAGACAACCTAGGGGTGGGTAGTATTGTGGTTAAGGCCAGGGATTAAGCCCCCAGGTCACAAGTTCAATTCCCCCATCCAGGCCAATCTTTTGGGAGAAGCACCGTTAGTTAGGAGGTTGGACCTCAAGTTATCTAATCAGCACTTGGTGTTGGTTCAATGCTCTCCCGTTGTGCGAGTCCTGACTTAAGCGGAGCTTGTCTTGGGAGATCGGGACAAGTTCCCAGGTTATAGTCTCCTTGCTCGGAACAACTAACAGGACACCTTGGTGATCTTTGTAAGGGGCTGCCTTGAACCTGCGGGAGAGTATGGAGGATTTTCCTGTAACAAAAAAAAAACAAAAAAAAAACAATGCTACATACTCTCAAAAAACACAACTTCCATAACCCCCACTCACCTGTGATTGGTCTAGGAAAAAAGAAAAAATAAATAAATAAACTGCGAGGATTTTCCTGTAACAAAAAAAAAACAAAAAAAAAACAATGCTACATACTCTCAAAAAACACAACTTCCATAACCCCCACTCACCTGTGATTGGTCTAGGAAAAAAGAAAAAATAAATAAATAAACAAAAACACATGATTGGTCCACATCATTTTAAAAGTCATAGAGGTCCCCAACTTTGGCGGTCCCAAACATTTTTGTTGTTAAAAAATAGCAAGAAGTTTGAAATCAAACCATATTTCGTTTGAGTCTTTTGGATTAAGTTTTTTGAAAACTGAGTTTTTTGGTTTTCGTGTTTTTTTTTTTGTTTTTAGTGAATATTTTTAAAATTTTAAACAATTTTTTTACTTTTTTAGATACATCTTACTTAGATGTATGTAAAAAGTAAAAAATTTGTGAAAAAATATTTTAAAAAATTAATAAATATATAAAAATACAAAAAATGTACTGAATTCTCATATATTTTTTTTTTTTGTATTTTTTGTATTTTTGGTATTTAGTGAATTTTTAAAAAGTTTTTTTCACAAATTTTTTACTTTTTAAGTATATTTATGTTAGATATGTCTAAAAAGTAAAAAAAAATTGTTTAAAATATTAAAAAAATTCAATAAAAACAAAAAAAAAAACATGAAAAATAAGAAAGTAAAATTTCCAAAAAAGTATTTTTCGAAAAGTACAACCAAACAAAGTATCGTGCTATATTTGGTACAAGGAATAGCTATAAATAAAATTTGCCAACACATTAAATAGAGAGAAAAAGGGATGATAATGAGTGGTTGTGATTAAAGATAAAAATTCACGATTCAATGGTTGTGAATAAAGAAAGAAAATGTAGCAAAAACACCGTTAGAGCAACATTACTAAATTATAGCAATTTAGCAATAATTAGAATTTTATCAAATGAATTATTGGAGATGCTCCAAAGTACTTAATTCCATCTTGGCTAAGATTTTAGGATTGATCTTGGACCCTTTGTTTTGTGCTTCTAAAATCAGGATGGACTCCAAGTGCATCTGATAGAAAGAAACCTTTCAGAGCCTAACAGGATTGCTGGTGAACTGCTACAGCCAGGAGGTTATCATAAACTGATTGAATTAGGGCTTCAGGGTAAGCAGGCAAACTCAACAAACAATCCTATTGTTGATAGGGTAAATTATGTTTTTGCATTCCTACATTTTACCTAATTACACTTTGCTCTCTCATTTTTCAATCGTAATAATTACGTTTTTACATTTTTTTGTCAAGTTTTAATGTGATCCTTACATTAGTGTGGTATTAAATTCACTAACAAAAATTATCATGCGACCCTCACGTGAGTCATTTTTGGGGTAAAAATGTAATTTTTAATTTTTTTTTTTCTTTCCCCACAATACTATCTCTTTATTAATTTTTCTAAACCCACCACCATTTTTTTTTGTCACTCGTTAAAATTCAACACTAAAGGAAAAGGGTAAAGGGATTTCCCCTTAGTGCCTCACTGACATGAGGCTCAAACCCACAACATCTGTTTTGAGGGTTGAAGACAAGGAAGCACGGGTGCGGGTGCGGGTGCGGGTGCGGGTGCGGGTGCGTGTACGGTATGGGTACAAGTGTGGGTACGTTGATTCGGTAAAATTTTAAAAAAAGTATGATACGGGTACAGCTGCGGTACGCTGATATCTTTTTTATATAAATATAATCATGGTTAAAGGATCCAACCTATAAATTAAAATTAAATATCAAAACTAAAAAGAGAACTACTCATTTTTCTATAATTTAAAACTATTAAACGTTAAAAATAATATCTGTGAAATCTCTAACTTTGACATGTTATGCATTGTGAATTCGTGATCATAATTTATTTTTAAAATCTTTCTTTTTGCTCATCAATTTGCTATTTTTATAGAGTGAGACCAAAGAAATAACAGGAGACCAAAGAAAGATTTAAAGTTAATTGCCAACAGTAAAGGAAAAAAAATTCTCAATTGGGACAATACGGGTACAGCTGCGGTACGCTGATATCTTTTTTTTATAAATATAATTATGGTTAAAGGATCCAACCTACAAATTAAAATTAACTATCAAAACTAAAAAGAGAACTACTCATTTTTCCATAATTTAAAACCATTAAACGTTAAAAATAATATCTGTGAAATCTCTAACTTTGACATGTTATGCATTGTGAATTTGTGATCATAATTTATTTTTAAAATCTTTCTTTTTGCTCATCAATTTGCTATTTTTATAGAGTGAGACCAAAGAAATAACAGGAGACCAAAGAAAGATTTAAAGTTAATTGCCAACAGTAAAGAAAAAAAAATTCTCAATTGGGACAGGTTGTCAATTGCAATTTGCATAATACATAAAATTGCATCATTCCCAACCACTATTAATCAACTAATACAGTATCAATTTTTAATGTTTTGTGTATAAACTTTTAAAGTTTGTTATGATTAAAGATTTTATAAAGAAATTCTAAGAGGATCTGAAGCAAAAGTATAACGCATAGTCATACACATAACTACCCTTTATAGGCCTTATTAATATTTTTGGTTCAAATTACTTTTTAAAAAATCAAAATCATTTGCTGATATGCTTATACAATTCATACAGACAGACAAGATAGCAGAGAAACATCAAAATTACTGATCTGCAAAGGCACAAAAAAAATAATAATAATAATTGTTGATCTGCAAGGGCACAAAAAAGAGTTTAAAAAAAAAATTGGCCTTACCGTACCCATGGCGTACCCACGTCGTACCCGAATGAACCAAACGTATCGGACCCTCTTTTGCCGTACCCGGTACACGTACCGCCGTACCGATATGCGTACCCGCACCCGGTAAGTACTCGGTACTCGTACGACAGTATTTTTAGAGTACCCGCGCTTCATAGGTTGAAGAGCCTATTACATGGGTAACCCACCACCATTGACCACTTCTTCTTTGCCACTCTCCCACACTTTTAGGGAAAGCGTGGAGTGGTGGGAAGAGTTGGGCAATGGACATGAATGGTGGTGGGTTACCCATGAATGGTGAAGGGGTAGGGGAGTAATCGGTGGCGAGGAAGGGTTTTAAAATATCATAGAAAGAGAAAATACAATTAAAGAAATAGACAAAAAAAATAATTTAAATGTGAATAAACTATTATTTTTATTTTGAAAATGGCTCATATGATGGTCACATGACAATTTTTGTTAACTAATTTAACAAATTAATAAAAGGGTTACATGTCAACTTAATTAATCGGAAGTGTGAGTTGATTGCTATAATTAGAAAATGAGCAGTGATTGGTATTACTAATTTTGGAACACTAACAATTCTAATGAGCTGGAAAATAATTATATATAAAAAAAAAGATACAAGGCCAAAACATCATATCATGTGGGACCCACACCAATATTAGTTCTATTAGAGCTCTTGGTAGAGATGGCAATTTGAACCCGGCCCGACGGGGACCCGATCCCCTGACCCTGAATTAAGTTGTTTTTCCCCGAAAAATATCCCCGACGGAACGGGGATGGTATTAAAAAATCAATTCCTGATCAATTTCGGGTCGGGGACGAGAATAAGTGTCCAAGCCCCGTACTTGCCATGTCCCTGTCCCCGCCCCGGTTTGTTCCTCGAAGTAAAATTACAATTTTACCCCTATATATATATATATATATATAAACCAGACCTAAAACATTACACACTCACTCATACTCAACACACAGAGACGAGACGACCGTTGCTGCTTTCTCCTCTCTCTCAGTGACACTTCTCCCTCACCGTTGCTGTGCTCCCTCATCGCCGATCCTCCCACTCTCTCTTACACATACGACAACTGCTGCTCTCTCCGCTCTCTCACGGTATCTCCTCTCCTCTCTCTCACGGTATCTCTTCTTCACTAGTTACTCTCTTTCTCTCTCTTTCTCTCTCTCTCTTTGATTTTTGCTTTTGTTCTTCAGATTTGGAAAATAATGAAGATGAAGATGAAGATGTTGTTGAGCTCACATCTGCTTTTCTTTTTTCTTTTTTTTATAAATAAGCTTAGATCTGTTGTTGATGATCTAATATGTAAGATGATGTGTTAGATGATGAAGCTCAGATCTGTTTTTTTTTTTTTTTGATCAGCGAAGCTCAAATCTGCTTAATGTGTTAGATGATGAAGATGATGTTGTTGTTGTTGTCAATGATGTTGATGTTGTAGTTGATGAGTTCTTGTATTTTTTGGAGTTTTTTTTTTTTTTTTTTTTGGCCGGGGAGTTTTTGGGGTCGGGGAAACCCAATCCCTGTTAGGGGCGAGGGGCAGGGGCGGTGATAGGTTCCCCATCGGGAATCGGGGCTAGGGATGGAGAAGTTTCCAACCATCGGGGATCGGGGACGGGGAGTGTGATCCCCCGCCCCGCCCCGGCCCAGCCCATTGCCATTCCTAGCTCTTGGATTAGTGGTCTAGAACATTTTCCTTAGAAAATAGTGCTGCTATTAGCCCCCACATTAGTTCTTAGGAACCCCCCATTTCTTTGGATATCCATAGGAGTGTAAAAATAGCCCGCAACCTGTGGGCGACCTGAACCCCGTCCCCTTTCCGGGGTGAGCCCGGTCCGCTTAGGCCCGGGCTCAAGCCCAACCCAAGCCCTTGGGCCTAGGCCATCATTTTGAAGCCCAGCCCGGCCCGTGGCCTAGCCCATCGACCCGTTTAAGGCCCGCTTAAAGCCCGATCCGAGGCCCGGCCTGCCCGAGTCCCGGTGTTTGTAGAAAATAATAAAATTTTGGTCGAAAAAATTTAAAAAAATAAAAAAAAATGGTCAAGCCCGAGGCCAAGCCCAGGCTCACTAAGCTGGCCCGTCCAAGGCTCGAATATCCCTAGGCCTAATTTTTTGGCCTGTGGATCGGTCCAACCCGGCCCAAACTTTGGCGAGAGCCCGCAAGGCCCGACATATGCTTGGCCGGGTCGGGCCAGATTTACACCCCTAGATATCTGTTCCGCCACCAAAAGGCATAAAATTCTTTGATGCAATTTGTGGATCAATGTCCTGCTTTCATTAATGAATCAAAGATTTGGTCATATATCTCAAACCACTATCAATAATATTAGATTGTGTGAGAATTTTGAGATTTAGAATTCAACACATTGAAAATTTATATTGAGACAAATGATCTCTGACTAACAATTTATATCATTAATTTCTTTATTTTGAGAGAGAGAATAAAATCAACCTCCCAACGTTTCGGATTGAACGTCAATAGATCTTTAAATACATCGGGATTTAGTTGAAGGGTAGAATTAACAATCATAATGGCCCAACCTGCTGGAATTGTATAACCTGGAGATTGAAATTAGTCAATTGGTATTGAACTCTAAGATAATTAAGTTTGAGATGTAAAACCCTAATCATAGCTTCACAAATTAATAGGTCATAATTATATAACATGTGGTCTCCCTTCCTAATAAGAGAGGAAGGAATACAAGACCATTTTGTTAGATGCATAATTTATGGTGATGATTAATTAACTAGATGCATATATATATAACCATTATAAGATGCACAACAACACATTGACCATTAATTAACTAGATGCATATATATATACCATTATAATTCAAACAAGTGGTCAGATGAAGAAAGCCATAAAGGTGAGGATGTGTGGACCATGTTGGGCTTATGAAAAGTTTAAGTGGTAATGGGGGAGCCAAGGCCCAGTTTAAATTTAGAAGTTGTGCTGGATCAAGCCCATTTTGAAGGTCTAGTTAATGGACTAAATTGGGGAATTGTTTACTTTGGAGTTCAATAGCATTGGGTGTAGTGTGGTTAAAATATACTTAACTATTTTTTGTTTTGTTTTTTCTATTTTTGTTCATTTATATTTTAAAAATTGTGAGGTTGAGAAGTTAGTCGTGTGGATACAAGTAGCAGTAATAAGGATAGATTGTACTTTATGAATCTCTTTTGATACATTTCATCTTTCTATACTTTTGATTACATGTTTTTTCTGAAATTTTTAGTTTACTGGTAAAATATACTATATAGTATTATAACTATATATATATATTACCATTTAAAACAATCCTCCATAACACGTCGTTATAACCCCTCAGCACTTCACACTAAGACACATCCTCTTTATACCAACACCAAGTTAACGAATGCACAATACCGCTATAGTGTGCCACAAATTTCTTTTTTGCATGATGAAAAAAAAAAAAATATATATATATATATATATATGAATAAGTTTTAGGAACAAATAAATTAGTTCAATCACAGTACTCAACAGATAATATACATACATAGATAATAAAAAATTGGAAGTGATCTTACTAATAAATTTTGTAGAATATTATTCATTCATGGATACTATGTGTTGATATTTTACTTTGTAAGGGATGCTATGCATGAGTGGATGGCTTTCATTGAAATTATTTATTTACTTATTTTATTCTCATACACCGAACTACATATTAAATTTGATTGTTTGTGTGTAAGACCCAACTACCATAATTAAAAAAATGGTATTCGACAATTTCCAAGATATAAAAATAATGTATGGATTCATATATAGTTTAAATATATATCATACATTTTATTTATAGATATTTTTTAAAATACTTTTTGGGTGCATTAACATTTTTTACAAATAACATAATTTTGGAGGTGGCTCCCCTCTAGTTAAGCATAGGGGTTGAAGAGCGTTGTTCAGGTTCATGGGATTCATCACAAGTTTCATTTAAATGATCTGAACTATTTATTTTGTTAAATATTTCGTATATATGATTCATACAAAAAATTAGATGGATCTAATAATCGTAACTTGTTGAATTTATCGTGTTTGTCACAAAAAAAAAAAAAGATGATAATTGTGTTTTTAAATATTGACTATCTATTTTTTGGTGACAAATGTAATAAATTAAATAAGTTACAATTATTAGATCTATCTTTTTATTTATTTGTTTGTTTGTTTGTTTTTGATGATATACACGAAGAACCTTAATTATCAATTGAACGATTCGAATCATTAAAACTCACGTGATAACCTCCACAAGCCTAGACAACACCCTTCAATCCGGTTGTATGACTAGAGGGAGCCCAGTCCTATAATTTATTGTATAGATTGAAGTAAAAAATGAAAAGATCTAATAAAATTAATCCAGTAAAATTAATTTCCAAAAGATATATATATATATATATATATAGAGAGAGAGAGAGTTTAGAGTGTGAAACTCACATGCATGGTAACAGTCATGGATTTATATTCGTCTCAAGTCAGCGGAGATTTCTTGTCCTCTCTATTTTTTAGAATAATGTCATGCTCCAACAATGACTGATACGATGAAATTCTCTGTCAAGAAGAAGTCAGTGTTCACGTCTTTCACTGCTTGATCAAGGAAGTCCCCTTTCTTTTCCTCTGGACATGCTATTCTCTCCTTTAACTTTTCCCAAATTACCTCTTCTAACTTGTCGTTGTCCTACAATCAAAATCATAATCCATAAATCCACCTCTCTAATTATTCATCATACTCTACTTTCGACAAAATGATTTATTAAATTTTTGTTTTTTGTTTTCTGTTTTCAAAAAATACATTAAAAGACCCCCCCCAAAAAAAAACCTTTTTTTTTTTTTAGTGAATAACAGAAAATCAGTTTTAAATTTTTTTAAAACGATTTTCGTAAACAAAAATTAAAAACAGGAAATTAATTAAGTAGTGGATGTTTTTTAATTTTTTTTTTTCTTTCTGAAAACATGAAAAAGGAAAAGAAAGGAAGCACTGTACATTTATGTTTTGTAGTGTTATTACCTTCATACATTTGTAGAATTTAGTACCAGGGATGTTCAATGGAAAGGACAAAAGACCTTCCACGAATCCAGCAATGGTGATTCCTATATCATCAGATGATTTTTCAAAATCATGACCAAACAGAGTTTTCGCAGCAAAAATTGCCACCATCTACAAAACCCAAGACAACAAATATTGATTAGGGGAAATCTACGACAAGAAGTCCTAAAAAAATGCATATCATAAAATGAATTATGATTTTTTATAATAAAAGTTATGGTTATTTTTGATGTATATTTTGTCATTTTGTGATAAAATTATAAATTATAAATTTATAATGTGTATCTTAAAATTAGGAATGATAATGTTATGACATTTTATGATTAAAAAAAAAAGTTATGACTTTCGTTACAAAAATTATGACATTTTCTATTTATGTTTTGAAATTGTGTGAAATTTTATAATAAAAAAAAATTATACAAGGCATACCATGTACACCTTTTAAAAGGTGTACATCATAGCATCTCCCTATTAATTAACTTAGGATGATGATTATGTAATGGATGGTTGTTTTTGTTGATATTTTTGGATAGCTATCATGTAATAGATAGTTGCATTTGTTATTACATATATTTTTAAATAGTTATCATGGAATGAATGGTTATTAGGCTTTTAATGTATAGTCAATATTTTAATATACAAAATGTTTTTAATTTTGGATTTTTTGATTTAATGATTGGTTTAATAATGATATCAAAGTTGTCACTATGTTTGACTTTTGAAAAAATAAAAATTAATTTAACGAAAATAAATATATAAAAAAATTATTTTTAAAAATTATTTCTACCCTCCCAAAAAATAAAATTATATAAAAATGATGTGTTTTTAATTTTTTTTCACCAATTTAATTTTTAATTTCTTAGAAATTTTTTCTAAAAACAGATTCTGAAAATCAAACCAAACAGAACTTTATAAAGAAAAAAGTTTCAACATTATTCATTAAAAAAAAAAACCATTATATTCAAACAACATATAAGTTAACCAACACAAAATAAGTTGTATGATGACTTTGCCCTTCAAATAGAGTAATAATGTTTTCAACTGTCTTTATTTGGAATGAGTTTCAAAATTTAAGGTCAAATATATAACAATTGAAAGATCAGTGACCAAAATGACACAAGTCTCAAATTATAGGAACTGTTATTATAATTTGTCCATTGAGATATGTACATACATACATTTTGGATTAATTATAGTTAACACTTCTGTACCTTCATCGTATTGTCGTTTTGGTTCCTTCATTTCAATTGTGGGAATTAACTTCCTATATTTTAAGTTAAGTTTTTTGTGCATTTACTGTTAATGAGGTTGACGAAAATTAAAAGTGAAAGAACCAAAATGGAATTTTAGTGAAAGTATATGGATTACAGTGAGATTTTGATGAAAGTGTAGGAACACTATTGGGACAAAGAAATGTCACATTTAGCTCAAATGACCAATTCTGCTAACCTTATTAATAGTGGATAGATGGAAAGATATTGCAAGTTGACTTAAAGTGTAAAGAATTGACTATTACATTAAAAGTAAAAGGATCAAGGTGAGATTAAGATAAAAATGTAAGAGTCTAAGACCAAGTTTGGCATGATTGAAAAAAGACAAAAAGTCAAAAAGTCACTATCCTATTTAAGTCATATCATCTTATTTAAGTCACATCACCTCTCAACACATCACTTCAAACCTAATCCAAACTCAACCCATATTTCATAAAAAATCAAAAAATACACTTATTTAATCTTCTCAAACTAGGCCTTAAGTATAATTAACTTTACACTTTTTTAAAAGTGCCACACAATCAAATATATCCAATTATTTAAATAAAAAAAGAAAGGATATTACAAAAAATAAAAAACAAATAAAATAACCTTAGAAGGGTTCAAAAAGACCTAATCATAAAGGGGTAATTTCTAGGATTAGATCTTATAAGGAGTTGAGGCCCTAGAGATTACCCTTAGGTGGTTGCTACATTGTAGGACCACTAAATCATGTAGCAGTAAGCCACAGACTCGCACAAAGGAGGGGATTCGAAGCCACACTTCTGACATTGGATACAATTTGCCCAAGTTTGAAAAGTTCGTCCTATCAACCATTTGTGCTGTCACCCGAGTGGGTTCTTGGGAGAGTTTGAGCCTTATAATAAAATAAATCCTGATTTTTTTATTTTATCAATTTAAATCTTAATCTTTTGAATTGTTTCAATCTAACACATTCATATTTTCTCGTTAAGTAAACTAACGAAAAAGAAGTATTTTAGTCATTAAATTTAATATATGTATATCTAAAATATTATTTTTCATTGAATTTAATAACTAAAATACTCGTTTTCATCAATTTTACTTAATGAGAATAAAAAATAGTTTAAATTTAAAATAAATAAAAATTTTAAAATTTAAATTAATAAAATTAAAAATTCAATATTTATTTATTAAAATAATAGATTTTTTTATTTTTATTTTATAATTTTCCCTTTAAAAATTTGGTGGTAGTGTCTATGTCACAATACACGTTGGTATTTGTGCTTCTTAACCAATGATGGTAGAACTGTTATTACTATTTACAAAGAATTTTAGATTAACTCAAATCTACATAACTTAAATCTCAGTTGAATTTTACTATTTAGTTGTATTTTTATTTTTCTAAAAATACGAAAAAAAAGAAATTTGTCTTCCACTTTTGTTTTTATGCTTTTGGACACAAAATTGAAATGTTTTAAAAAAAAATTTGCCAAAAACAATTCGTCAAACACATTTTTTTATTCATGAAAAAAAAAAACATGACCAACCTTTGTCTTTTTTGATTGAGTTTTCAGAATCTGTTTTCTAGGGGAAAAAAATTATTAAAAATTAATTTTTGGTAGAAAATTTAAGGGTAAATTATAAATATTCTCCTGAGATTTGATTAAAATACGAATCGCTTCCTTGGTTTTAAAAATTATATTCCACCCATTGAGATTTCTAATTTCATAACAAATCACCTCTTTTATTAATAAATCATTAAGTCAATTAATAGTTTTTAATGATGTTAAAAATATGTTTTAATTAATAATTTAGATAATTTTATTATTGTATAGGAGAGCAATTATGAATTTTATTTTTTTAGTTAATTCTGTTAAATAAAAAATTTTAATAAGGGGATATTTGTAATTTTTTAAACCACAGGGGGCAATCTGTATTTTAAGTAAACTTCAAGGGGTGTATTTGTAATTTACCCAAAATTTAAAATAAAAAAAAAATCAATTTGATTTTGAGTTTTCCAATAAATTTTTTTGAGTTTGTTCAATTTTTTTTCTTCTTATTTTTGTATATTTAGTGAACTTTTTAAATATTCAAATATATATATATATATATGTATATATATTTATTGTCCTTTGATATTTTACATCCTCAGTGTAAAAATGGAGCAAGGTACAGTAACATCCCTGATTGAAGAGAGAGGGACAATTAAAGGAGTGGAATACAAGACCCAGACTGGTCAGCTATTTAGATCATATGCTCCCCTCACTATTGTCTGTGATGGTTGTTTCTCAAATCTCCGACGCTTTCTTTGCAAACCAAAGGTGACAAAACATTTACATCATCTATTATTGTCTATTCATCTAAAAAATAAAAGAAAAATGTTAGGTATTATGAAAATACTTTATGAAAATGCTCATAAAAGATTTTTCATCCTTATATTACACATTATAACGTATTGCATGTATAAATTTAATGTCAAAAATCTTTGATGATCATTTTCGTGAAATAATTTTCATAATATCTAACATTGTATCCTTGTAATTACATAGAGGCAACAGTGATAATAAGCGAACAGTGGGTGGTGACTAGAGAGGATGAGACAGGAATGATGGCATAAATTTATTTTAAAAGGGCTGAAGGCATAACAAATAATTTGGAATTAGGAGAGAGGAATGAATGAAAATTAGTTTCAAAATAAGTTAAAATATTTTTTTTCTTCTGTTTACTAGAATTTAGAGAATTACTTACATTTTTTTTAAAGATATAGAAATAGACAATAAATGAGATTTTATTTTCAAAATTTCAAAATATTTATAAACGTAAAGGGAAAATTGTAAATTATATTGTTAGGTTAATGGAAGAAAACAAATGCCCATCTAATTCATTTAGGATTTTCTATTTGTTGGTGATGTCACCTCAAATGGTGTAATTTTTGAGGAGTCATGTTAATAACAGCTCCGTAAGTAGGGTGCTCTTGTACCAGTTCGGTTTAGTTATGAGATAAATTAAGAAAGGGTTATGATTGAGACCCCCTCAATCACCAATCCCCACCACCCCCCACACACACGTGGCGGATGGTGATTGGAGGAGAAGGAAAAAAAGAAAAAGAAAAAGAAAAATTGGCCAATCAAGAAAAAGACGGGGTCAAAGGGGTGGAGGGAAAAGGAGTCTTAATCATTTTTCATTAAGAAATTGAACCATGAAAGTCACTGTTCTACATAATATTTTTTCCAAACTAGGGCCAAAGTAAATTTTGAAAAGTCATGTCAGTGACAACTCTATGAGTAAGGGTGTTCATGGACCAATTTGATTCGATTTTGAGATAAATCAAGAACAAACAAGTTCTTTAGGTTCTAGAAATTTAGGAAATAAATTGAACTGTGAAACTTTTCGATCCAAATAAGAACTGTTCTAGACTAGAAAATTCATCACTATATCTATACTATCTAGTTCAATATAAATTAATTCAATCTATACAAGAATTCTAAAATTTCATAAATATACTTACAATTTTATTGAATAATCTCCAAACTCTTTATATTATACAATAATTACTATAAAAATTTTAATTTTTAATACCATAAAGAAGTGCAAAAATGATATAAATAGTGAACAAAAAATCATCACTATATATATACGATCTAGTTCAATATAAATTAATTCAACCTATACAAGAATTCCAACATTTCATAAATATACTTACAATTTTTTTTGAATAATCTCCAAACTCTTTATATTATACAATAATTACTATAAAAAATTTAATTTTTAATACCATAAAGAAGTGCAAAAATGATATAAATAGTGAAAAAAAAAAACTACAAACATATATTTTTGTACAGAGATAAACTAAGTGCTTTTAAATAAGATGAATGAAAGTTCATCAAAGTTCTCAAACAACTCAATGAAGAAGAGTTAGTACCCTTGTAATACCATATAATTATTAAAAGGATAAATTATACTTACCTTCCTTAAAATTTAATGAGATTTCAAAATAACTCAAATCTTCCTTGAGGTTCAACTTTTAAATGCATTAACATCCCATGAGGTTTAATGAAATATAAAAACATCCCCTAAGATTTCTGAGCTGACAGAAACTTTCTTAAAATTTAGTTTTCAATTACATTGACTTCCCCTTGAGATTTAATGAAATTGTCGAAACCCCTCTAAGATTTCTGAAATGACGTAAATCTCTCTTGAAGTTTAGTTTTTTTATTGTAGATTCTCTCTTATGTTACTTTATTGTAAAAAATAATGAAAATGTTGACATTATCAAATAATTTAATTATATTTCAATTTACCCTTTAAAATTGTGTCCAATTACAAAAAATAAAAAAATAAAATTTTTATTTTCTTTCTAATGGGAAGTTTATGCCATTTCAAAATTTATACCATTTCACTAAACCTCATGAGAGGTTAGTGTGTTAAGAACTAAATCTCAAGGGTGGTTTCTGTCATTTCAGCAATTTCATTAAATCTCAGAGGAGATCATTGTAATTGAAAATTAAACCTCAATGGAGGTTTAAGTCATTTCGGAAATCTTAGAGAAGGTTTCTGCAATTTCATTAAACTTTAAGGTAGATTAGTGTAATTTACCCTTATTAAAATAACAAAACATGAACTGTTTGATTATGTGACAGCCCTCACCTCTGATTAGCGTTAAATTGTGATTAAGCATGATAAGTAATTAATTAAGATGAAATCCTAAATTGATTACATGAGTGTGTTGTCTTAAATGCATTTCTATCTGTCTGTTACTGAATGATCTATTCATGTTTTATTTTGGGACTGCGAATTGAAAGCCTTATCGGCGCCCAAGTCAGAAATTGATTAGTGTTATATGCTAATTAGGATTTATGTGATTTTATGGTAGGTTTAATCAAAATTCAATTTGGAATGATTAAATTAGAATAGATAAAGTTAAATTACATCAACTTGAGTTATTTGCATTTGTGCCATTGAGTGGGCTAATTCTAGACCATTTGTTTAGTCTTGATTCATAAGTTTGGCACTATCATCTTTCATCCTCAAGAGACCAAACCGTATGAGAGAGGGAGAGTAGGAGAAAGAGGTTGAATTCACCTAGATTTTGCTTGAACTTAGAAGATTTGGAGGAGAATTGTACATTGAGCTTTCATACTTGGAATTCAAAACTTAAGGTAGGAAATTCATTCTTGTAATTGTGAAATTAAGTTGTTTCTTGCATGGTTCATGGAAAATTGGTGATTTGAGTCAAGAATTGGCTTAAATTATTGATTTGAGAGTGATTCCAGGCATGCATGTCTATATCATAGAATTTTGAGGTTGCTTTCCATGAAATCCTCACATGCATGTTCATATTTGAGTTGTGGTTCACGAATTCACCATGTTTTAGAGTTCAATCTTGCATTTGATCATGTTTTGGAGCATTAGAGTCCATGGGAACTCATGCATGTTATGTTCTTGCATTGTTCTTCAAGTTTCTTTGAAATTGGTGTTCAATTGGCTTACCTTTGGGCTTTGATTTTGTGAAATGATCTTCAAAGCATGTTGTATTATGGGTTTCCAAGTGTTTTTCAGAAAATTGGCCCAAAAGATTGAGTTTTGATATGTTTAATGCTTGGTTTGAGACTTGGGAGCAAATTTGGAAAATCCAGATTTTGGCTTCCACGCTCGAGCGAAAGATTACACGCTCGAGTGACCACCTTTGTGTTCAGAGCTCCGCTCGAGCGACGGAATGTTGGCTCGAGCGTAGATTGCAAGCTCTTAGGTTTTTGCGTGTGCACTTCGCTCGAGCGAAGAGACCTACGCTCGAGCGAAGAACTGTGTCTCACGCTCGAGCGAGCATCGAGGGAGCATCGGGCGAAGAATGTCAGCAACCAGTACTTTTCATGTTTTTGCAGACCGTTCGAGCAAGGAAGTCTACACTCGAGTGACCTCTCTGTTTTGGTAAGCTCGCTCGAGCGAAGAAATCCACGCTCGAGCGAGACCCTTGTTTTGAGTTGGTTCTTGCATGGTTTAGAGGATTGTTGGAGTTTAGAGCCAAATTATGGCTTAAATTGTTGAATTGAAGCTTGGATCATGCATGCATGTACATATTCTTGCATTTTGAAGTTGATTTTCATGAAATCTTGCATGCCAGTTTACATTCTTGTTCTAGTCCATGAGTTCATCTTGGTTTTGAGTTTAATCTTGCTTTGGATCATGTTTTGAGGCATTAGGATTCACTAGAATTCATGCATGTCATATGTTTTTCATGTTCATGAAAACTTCTTTGAAATTGTGTTTAATTGAACTACCTTTGGGCTTGGATTTCTCAAATTGATCTTTGAAACATGTCATATTATGAGTTTACAAGTGTTTTCCAGAAAATTAGCCCAAAAGGATCGAATTTGATGCTTTAAAGTTGAGTTTTGAGCTTGAGGTTCAAATCTGGAAATTCCAGATTTTGGACTCACAGTCGAGCGAGAAACTCCACGCTTGAGCGTACACACTGAGTCCATGCAGTCCGCTCGAGCGGGGAAAGTGACGCTCGAGCGGGAAATGCGTGTATCCAGTACTTTGCATATGTTTACAGTCCGCTCGAGCGGGGGAATGCACGCTCGAGCGAGGACTTGTGTCTCACGCTCGAGCGGAGGTCGAGCACCCATCGAGCGTGAATTTCACCCATCCAGTACTTTTGCAGTCCGCTCGAGCGGGGCTCTTTTGTCTGCATGTCCGCTCGAGCGAGGAAACCCACGCTCGAGCGAGACCCTGTTTCAGCAAAATTTTGAAAAGTGTTTTAAAGTGCATCTTTGCATCCTTATTCCATCCTAGGCATTCCTAGGCCTAGTTTAAGGCATCTTAATGAGGATATTGATGTAGAACCACACCGAGGCAAATTAGGGATTAAGTTATTATTTTTCCAACTGTGTAGCTTAATGTGTGTTCGTTCTGTAACTGTGTAGGGTTGGCATCCGAGGACGCTCTAGCTGCTTATAACCCAGTGCTCTGTGAGTAACAATGTTGTAAAGATATGTTCAATCATGAATATTTTCTGAATGAACAACTGTACTGCTTTCTGAAATGATATTTCTTACTGAATGAATGTTTGTCCTATTTGTGAACTGTATTCGTGGCATCCTTAGCAAATTACTGTTACTGTACTGCACTGCTACTGTCACAGAGATCTCTGTCAGTTCGCATGTTTGGAACCACTACTGTTTACTGATATGATGGCCATCAGCTGACTGTTCGGTCTGTTAAGACCTACTGTACTGTTTTGCTATTGAATGTACCACATATGACTATTATAGTTTCTGAATGACTGTTATGGCATGAAATATGAGCCACAAACTGAATGACTGATATACTGATAAATGACTGTTTTCAATACTGAAAGGACATTCATTCTTAACCTCTTTACGCATATGTTATTCACTGGGCTTTAGCTCACTGCTCATATATATATGTAGGTGTTCAGGCACCGGACCGTTGCTAGAAGTGTCAGGCTAAGCCCTTGTTTTGTTAGGCCAACCTTTGTGTCTCACTTCGAGGTTCCAGATCTGTTCAAGCTAAGGCTGCTTTTGGGGTGTCTCGGATTCACCCTATCTGTCTCTGTTATGTATAGACTGAATGATATTTGTACTGTACTGTTATGGTGGGGATTTGGTCCCTAACCTGAATGCCTGTAAATGATGTATGTATATACTGTTTTTGTTCTGAATGTGAACATGTTATAAAAAGTCTTTTTGCATACAGACTGTCACAGCTCATTGGACATCTTTTAATTATTGTTTTGGCTTTCGCCAGCCCCTATACTCTGTATTACTATTTTACTGTTAAGCAGGCCTTCGATAATCTTGGATTACTGGCCGGTTACGGTGCTAAACCCATAAGAGCGGGTTTGGGTCATGACAGCTTTAGCTCACTGTTTATATATGTATGTAGGTGTCCAGGCACCGGACCGGAGCTAGAAGCATCGAGTTAAGCTCATGTTTTGTCAAGCCAACCATTGTGCCTCACTTCGAGGTTCCGAGTCTTCTCAAGCCAAGGCTGTTTTTTGGGTGTTCCAGATTCATCATTTTGTCTCTGTTATGTAATGAATGTTTAGACTCTGACTGTACAGTTAGGGTAAAGGGATTAAGTCCCTAACCTGGATGTGATGTGCACCTGATATGTATATATGTTTTGGTTGTGAATGTGGCTTGTTCATAAAAGTCTTTTTGCATTTAGATTTCAACAGCTCATGGGACATCTCTTATCTACTGTTTGGCTTCCGCCAGCCCCTTACTCTGTACTATTGTTGTTACTGTTAAGCAGGCCTTTGGTAATCACGGATTACTGGCCGGTTACGATGCTAAACCCATAGGGGCAGGTTTGGGTCATGACAGATTAAGTATTTTTATTTACTACCTCGTTTGGATTGGAGGGTAAGAAAAATAAAATAAAATAAAATAAAATAATAATAATTATAGTCTGTTATCTATGTGAGAAAAGAAATCAAATGGTTGTGTTTTTGATATTATAAATATTTTATAATCAATTAACTTTTTTTTTACCAAATCTGATCACTTTTGGTAAGAAATTAAATAGGCTTAATAAGATAATTGCCTTTTCTCACAATTTCTCACTATTTTCCACTCAACTTATAAACCAAACATCAAAAATGAGTTTTCTTTCTAAGAGCATTTCCAATGGAGCTACTATTCAACCTGACAAAGCTAAAATTTGACAAGAATAACAAAAACGGGGTCTCCAATGGCCTGCTATTCTACTTGCCAAAGATAGCAAATGCCATTTCTGTTCTCAAATTTGGCAAATTGAATAGCAGCTGCCAAACTTGCCAAATCAGCAATTATCAACAGATTTTTGGCACCAAATTCAGTTGAAGAAACAGATTTGAAACAGTAGAAAACCTAACAAATTCATAATCAAACCCAATTTATACAATTTTTTTGCCAAATTCACAAAATCATTTATCACCAAATCATTTTTCAGAATCATTTTTTTGTTCGTTTTCAGAATCAAACCCAAATCATTTTTTAGAATCAATTTTTTTTTGCCAAATCCAGAATCAATTTTTTTTTTTTAATCATTTATCACCAAATCAATCGATGCAAATGGGAGTGTAAAAATTAGATGAATTTTATGACAATAAACCAAACCAAAATTAGATGAATCAACAAAAATTAAACCAAAAATCAAAATAAATAATTACCAAAAATCGGAAAGCATAGACCTGAGTTGTTTGAAGATCTGGAGATGCTTGAGTTCTTTGAAGATCCGGTTTGAAGCCATCGCGAGACCTAAGTTTGAAAAATCGCGATCACCTCCACATCAATAACCAGAAAAATAAGCAAAAAATCAAAGCATATATATATATATATATATGTATGATATGTATACAGACGGAGAGCGAGAGAGAGAGAGATAGATAGGAGAGTATGGGGGTGTTTGTTTCAGCTTTTCAAAGCCAACTTATGACTTTTAGCTTTGAAAAAGTTAAGATTGAAGCATACAGAGATCGGTGAGGAGAGGGAAGACAGTGCGAGAGTGAGAGAGCGAGAGTCAAAGAGAGAAAGCGAGATCGGTTTGAGGAGAGGGAAGACAGTGCGAGAATGAGAGAGAAATATCGATTTGAGGAGAGTGATAGGGAAGACAGTGTGATGAGAGTGAGGAAAGGGTTGAATGATTCTCAGTGTGATGAGAGATCGGTTTGAGGAGAGTAAGAAGGATGATTCTCAGTGAAATGAGAGTGAGAGTAAGAGGAGAGGGTTGGATGAGAGATCGGTTTGAGGAGAGTGAGAGGGATGATTCTCAGTGTGATAAAAGTGAGAGGAGAGGGTTGGATGATTCTAGAGAATCATCTCAACCATTGAACATTTTAGACGTGGACGGTTGTGATCTTCCACTTTTCCCTTAAAACAGCCGTCGTGCTCTGTTTGGTTTTAAAAAAAAAAAAAAAAATCGAGATGAAAAAAAGAACTTGAGATGAAAAAATATGACTTTGAGATAAAAAAAAGGAAGAACACATAATAATGACTATGGACATTTCTCATGTGGACCCTCAGATGAAAGTGTATTACACAATGCGAAAAAATGAGATTTTCGCCAAGTGGTCCTCAAATGTGAGCAACCCAAATTTTTATTTTCCCTTACCTCCTGATGAATAATTACGAGATAATGTATTTTTAAATTTTGCAATATCATTTAATTTTTGATGTAATTGTTAGTCTTTATTTGCAATGTCATTTTTTATTTTGTAATGAAATTTCATGTTGTTTTTTATTTTTGAGTATTTTCTACAAAACAATGTAATATTATTTTTGCAATGTATAATGTTGACTAATTTTTAGTATAATTTAAATTTTTGGTGGGGTGAATTATATTTATTTATTTTTTCCAATTTTTAATTTTTTTTTTCATTTTTTTCATTTTTCTAGTTGGGAATAATATAAATATATAATTTTTTTTACAAACTGGTATACAAAAAATAAACAAAAATAAAATCACAAAAAATCTATATCCAAACAACACCTACAAATTTGGAAGGAAAATTGGTTGAGATTTGCTAAAATAGCAAATGATCATTGGAGCACCATTGCTATAATTTAACAAAATAGCATTATTCATTGTCAAATTATAACAATAACAATGACATTATAGTAACAATAGTTGGAGATGCTCTAACCACTCGTTATCATTTCTCCCTATATCATGCCATCCGAACAATGTGTGAAGTTTTAATCTTTTCTCAATATGTCAAATATTTTATCCACTTGTTATCATCTCTCATATGTCAAATGTTTTTTTAATCTTTTGAAACTAAAGTCAAACCTTCTTTTAAAAAAAATGAAACCAAATCATATTTCGACCCATTTAATTCAATTTACAATTTAACATATTTCTTTGAATGCCCCAAACCTATGACAGACCAGCAACGTCAAAATAATTAAAATTCAATTCAAATACACTTTACACACATTTTAAAACTATTTTTACACATACAACACCTCCTCTGTTTATGGTGCAGGTGGATATGATCTCTTATTTTATTGGCTTGATTATGGAGTGTGAGCTTCCGTACCCAAACCATGCAAATCTTGTTCTGGATGGCCCTACAATCATGTGGTTTTATCCTATCAGTAGTACTGAGGTTCGTTGCTTGATTGATTTTCCAACTCCAGGAACACTACCTTCCATTTCCAATGGTGAAATGGCTCCCTACTTGAAAACCGTGGTGGCTCCCCAGGTAATATACACAAATAGAAAAATGTTTGAAACCTACAAAAAGTTCTCACAATTTAACCCACATTGAAATAGTATGGTAGGTGTCAACTTTTGATTAGTTACCTACTCTTGCCACATCATGTGGGCAAATTTATGGATCTAAAATATGGGTCTCTAGCATTACGCATACAAACATAAAATTTATACATAATTTTTATACAGAATGATGTGGCTCAATAAGAATCATTTACTTTAAAACAAAACACCCAAGGTGAGTTTATTTTTAATAATATGCCAGCTCATTCTTATAGAATTTTATGTATAACTAGAGTTTGTTCCTCTTCATTTCCTCAGCTATATATATATATATATCCCTTACAACAATGGTAGGTGGCCCGAATTTTCGTGACTCGAATGGCTCAAAATGACGTCGTTTTGGGTGTAAAATGATATCGTTTTGACACATTCAGGCCACACAAATTCGGGTCATCAAACATTTTTCATATCCATTATGCATTGGATTAGTTGGGAGTAGAGATGTAATGGTTCATTCGGGATTTTGAGAAAATTTATCACCTAATTGAATCCTTTGATTTTGTTAGTTGGGTTGTGTTTAGTTCATAAATTTGGAGAGAGATTTAGAAACGGAAAATGAAAAGGTTTATGAAACTAGGTGAAATGTATGTATATTTTATTCATATTTCATCTACCTTTTCCTTTTGTCTTTTCAAATCCCTTCCTAAATCCTTGAACCAAATACAACCTTAAAGAACTAAAACAATAATATATTGCAGTTTGGTTTTATCAGTTTATATGAGTGAGGGTGTTTTGGGTACATAGTAAAAAGTCAGTTTTTTCGCTTTTTAGCCATAAAAGTTAGCTTTTTTAGCCAAAAAAAACTACAAAAAGACAAAAAAGCCAAAAAGTCAGTTTTTAACCAGCTTTCATCCTTATAATTTAACTCAAATTTTACTTTGATCTTATCGATTTAATTTGAACAATTTGGTCATTCTACTTTAAATATAGTTTCAATTGGGCTTTTCCGTTCAAATTTATATTAATTTCTCCTAGATGTATACTTTAGGAGACTAACAAATGCTCTAAAATTATTAATTTTAACCTCCAACTTAAATGGAAAGACCAAACCGAAACTAGATTTAAAGTATAAGATCAAACTACACAAATTGAAACAATATAGATCAAAGTAAAACTTAAGTCAAATTATAAGAATTAAAGCCATGTTTGTTTGGGTAGACATGAGGTTGGGATTGGACTAATAGTCCAATAAAATTATTAATTCGATATTTGGTTAAACAATTAAAGTACGGACTAATTATTTTAAACTTAACTTTTAGTTAATATAGGATACATAATCCAACGGATTCGTAATCCCAGGACTATTAGTCATGGAAATGCTAATCCAATCCGTCCAAACAAACATAGCTTAAAAGTATAATTAATCCAAAATTTGTAGAACTCCTGGCAAGAATAAATCAAGAGAGTTGGTGGGGGAAGTTTTGTAAATATGTCCCCATGTAGATATTTTTTCAAAATTTAATTTGAACAATTTGGTCATTCTACTTTAAATATAGTTTCAATTGGGCTTTTCCGTTCAAATTTATATTAATTTCTCCTAGATGTATACTTTAGGAGACTAACAAATGCTCTAAAATTATTAATTTTAACCTCCAACTTAAATGGAAAGACCAAACCGAAACTAGATTTAAAGTATAAAGATCAAACTACACAAATTGAAACAATATAGATCAAAGTAAAACTTAAGTCAAATTATAAGAATTAAAAGTATAATTAATCCAAAATTTGTAGAACTCCCAGCAAGAATAAATCAAGAGAGTTGGTGGGGGAAGTTTTGTAAATATGTCCCCATGTAGATATTTTTTCAAAGACATATAGTAGCATTTATCTTCTAATATTTAAATAATTAGAATGTAAAAAGTACTTAAATATAATATTGACCATACTTTTAAAAAAATTGACCAAAATCAAAATTTCGATTGACACGATCAGTTTAGTTCTATATTTTTCTTAATATAACCTAGATTTAAGTTTGTTATTTCAAAATAGATCTACTGCATAACTTTTTTGGGCCTTGTTTGTTTCAGTTTATTCAAGAATTTTATAACTTTTTTTATTCTTTATTTAGGAGTGCATGACAAACTGTTTAGTGCAGTTTACAACTTATGAAATAAAGACTTTAATAAGCCAAAAGACTGATTATTAAACAATGCTTTAATTTTTTATTTTAAAATATTAATTTTTAACTTAGAAGAGACTATAACAAACAAGGCCTTCGAGGACGTTGACCGATACATGGAACTGAAATTTTAATTCCTCTTTTTGTTTTTATCACGGTGATCAAATATTTATATATATATATATATATTTTGCTACAAGAGACTTATTTCTATGGATTAATATCACTTCACACCAATTACTCAAAAAATTAATGAGACCATTTTTTTTTAACTTAATTTTTTTTGTTGGTGCTTTCATTAATGACTCTGTTTTATAAGAACAATTTGTGCATTCAAGTGCGTCCAAGGATTAAAGTGACTTGTTTTTATCATTTTTCAGTTGTTGCCATTGTTCCTCTATCAATTTCCTCCACATGACTCCCCATCTTAAAAAAAAAAAATAAAAAATCCTCTACGTAACTTGGAAATTTCAACTACAATGTCTATTTCTTAACTTATTGTCTTATATTAGGGCCAGGTTTAGATAAAAAATTTAGAGAGAGATTTATGGAGAGAGAAAAAAAAAAGAAAAAATAATAATAATAAAATGCAAACTAATTTTATTTTATTTTTACTTATCCCTTTCCTTTTTTCCGTTATATCCACAAATCTTCACTCAAATATTTGATTTAAACATAACTTAGGAATTTTGACTTCTAAAGAAATTTACGTATTCCATATTCCACCAGAACTGTACAATGCCTTCATTTTATCTGTTGACAAAGGAGAGATAAGAACAATGCCAATTAATTTGATGCCGGCAACACCATATCTCATTCCAGGTGCCGTGTTCCTGGGTGACGCATTGAACATGCGCCATGCAGGAACTGGATCTGAAATGATGGTGGCTCTTCACGATATCGTTCTCTTTCGGAATCTTCTTAGGCCTCTACAAAAGCAGTTGACTGATACTGCTTAGGGGCGACGCCACAGCATAGCTTGTGGTGTCACTTGAACCCCCTCAATAGAAGAAAAATTATTTTACTTTGCATATAATTGTTGTTTTAGAAATGTGTTATCATAACTGACCCTCTAAAAAAGTGACTTTGAACCCACAAATTTTTAGGCTTATTAATTATTTACAAATCAATTTCAACTTATCACATTGTACCAAACACTATTAGAATAGAGGAAATGGAATGATTATTCTATCAAAATATTCATTACTATGTTTGGTTGACTAAATAATTAATGAAAATTACATTACAAATGGAATAATTATTCACTATTGTAAGGGGATGATCATTCCATAAGGAAGCTAAATGAATTATCATAACATTCCATTTTATCTCATTCCAATAAATCAAATAAAGCATTACAACTTATTCAAAGCATTTTAAACATTAATATAAAACTCCATAATTTTAAAAGCTAACTTTTATGTTTTTTTCAAATGGGACATTGAACCTACATAAAAATTAATCTTGGTTTATTTGTTTCTTTAAAATATTTTATAATATAAAATACAATATATATTTTTTGTTTTTATTAGATATTTTTGCCTTTCAATTGACACCACTAACTTAAATTCCTAAAGTCGCCATTGATACGGCTGCACTAAAATGTCTTCAACTTTTCTACACCAAGCGCAAGGTAAACACCATCCATGTCTTCTTTGTATTGCTACTTTTGTTTTCACATGGAACATGTTAGGATTGAATGGTTTGGTGAGAAAACAAATAAAAGGAACGAATGGGAATAGAACTCTTATCATTTGTTTAATTAATGGGTCAGGCTTGTGTCTAGTTTACTTTGTAGATTGGACGGTGTTGTTCTTATCACGGATTCTGTTTTGATAATTCGAACCGTCTAATGTATAAAACTTGTTGAATATTTTATCTATATAAAAAATCGCATTAATCGGATATTGATATCTATTTAATTAAATCAAATTTTTTGTCAACAATTTATTTTGAAAATTATATTTACCATTGATAGAAATCTGATTCGATCAAGTAACTATCGATATCCGATTAATGTGATTCTTTACAGGGATAAAGTACTTGATGAGTTCTACATATTAAACGGTTTATATTATCAAAACCAAATTTATGATGAACTCCCATACACCCAACAGTACTCATCAATTCAATCTTGAACTGGAGAGAAGCTTGTCCTTAAATAATTGAGGAATGGCAAGAAAAATTAACAGAAAGAAAAGGGTCTGTTTGTTTGCTGGCATGAGTGAGGTATTGGAGTATGAGTGAGCTGGGCCCACTCATGCCATGTTTGGTCAATGTTTGGTTAGAAAATGTGTGGGGGGATCAGTATTCCTATTGGAGTAGTAGCTCTACACTATAGGTCAGTTTGATTAGGATGAAAATGATAAAAAATGAATGAAATAAAAAAATTTGTTTAGTATGAAAGTGGTAGAAGTTATAAAAAAAAATTTAATTTTATTATACAGTTATAATAATATAGTAATTAAGATTTCAATTTCTTGCAAAAAGTATATACACCAAAAAATAAATAAATAAATAAATAAAAATACAAAATGTTTAAGTTTATTATAAAAGTAGTTACTTATAATTAGAATTTTTTTTTTCTTACAAAATTTTTATTCTAATCAAATTTATGTGAGAAAGTATATTTTCTTTTTCTTTTCTTTACTTTCTATCATTTTCACTTGCCACCATTTATTTATTTTTAATCAAACAAAGCCAGAACTCGCAATGTTAAAAGACATGGGATTGAGATTCAATCCTACGAGATTAATAGATGAAAGACTATGGCTCTGTTTGGTTGTGCTCTGAAATCAGTTTTCTACCTGTGTGTTAGGGTATGATGTTTGGTTTCGTTTTCAAATTAATTTTCTACACTCTGCAGAGAGAACTCTGATGCACAGGCGCCTTTTTTGTCCACCCGGATGACCACCCGGTAGACCACCCGGATGACCACCCGGATGACCACCCGGTAGACCACCCGGATGCGGCTGATTTCCAGATTTTTTTTTTTTTGCAATTGATTTACATAATCGGGACAAATATTTTCTGAAAATTTTTAAATTTTTTATGTGCTTTAAAATAATTTTGAATTGTATGTTTAGTTATGAGTTGTAAATTTTTGTATCACATATCAAATGTCACATCAATAATTTCCCACTCAAATCAAACCTCTTTTCCAAAACTATTTTCAACTCTTTACCAAACAAATTTTCTACACTCAAATCATAATTCCACAACACATAAACTCAAAATACAACTCATACTCTCAAATCACATTTACAAAACTCTACCAAACACTACCTATATTTTACTCCTTAGCCTATATGACTACACTAATAGAAGAAGGATAATTATGAAATTTTATAAGTTTAATCCCAATCAATTAATATCAAGACACTACTACACAAAAAATATTTTGGCCTCGTTCAGTTTGTATTTGTGAAATAATTTTGAAAAATAATTTTCTAAAGAGTTTACAAAATTAAAAATTTGTTTGGTTGTATATTTTGGGAATAGTTTTGGAGTTTGGAGTTTATTTTTTATTTTTTATTTTTTTTTTGTAGTTAAATAGATAAGTGTGAGAGAAAAAGTTATTGATTGGTGTGTAATAAAGAGAAAAATAATTTTGAATTTTTTTTTCAAAGATTTTTAACCAAACAAATTTTTTGAGATTTTTTCTCAAAAATTATCTCTAGATACCAATCAAACAATGCTTGTATCTGATATTTTCAACTTAACTCTATCACATTACTAATTTTCACATTTAAATTTTTTATACTCATAATTTAATTCATCTTAATCCACTAAACAGATGTAACCTAAAACTGTTTATTGTTGTACACGGCAATGCCACAAAAGGCTCGCCTTACCGCACATTGGTGTAGCCCCACGGAATTGAGGTGGCTGCTGTGCGGGGTGCATAGCAGCCACTGCTGTGCAGTCAATTGGGCCCTTTTCAGGGTCTATTTTGATAATTTAAAATGTTCATATTTTAAAATATCTTAAATAGAATATACTTGTAAAAAATCAAGTTAATCAGATATTATCTGGATTCCACGCACATGCATGGTGAAATATGAGCACTTTCAGCATTGAATGCGGGTTGCAATAAATAATTATTCTTACATGAAAATTAATGTTAAATTACACTGTTCAATCTTACCGTTTGACTCAAGTTTGTACTTTAATTTTTATTATTTTAATTTGAATAATTTAATTTTTTTACTTTAAATTTAATTTTAATTTGGTTATTAATTTCTTTTATGTGCACATCTTAAAAGACTAACACATGTAATAAAATTATTAATTTTGACTTTTAATTTGAACGAAAGAGTCCAATTCAAATTAAACTAAAAGTGTGGAGACTAAATTATTAAATTGAAATTCTAAGAATCAAATTGAAATTTGATTCAAATTATTAGGATTAAAAGTATAATTTACTCAAGATTAATTAATGGAATTAAGGACAAGTTTGGCATGTCACAAAAAGACAGAGTCAAAAAGTTACTCAAAAAATTACTCAAAAAGTTAAAAAGTTGTCACTATTCACAAAAAAAATACTAAAATATTAATTTGGTCTGGGCTATGTTTGGAAGAGTTTTGGAATTGTTATTCCAGCCCTTAATTTGTATATGGTATTTGGTTGTGGCTTTTAAATATTAATTTCACGCTCACTTTTGAAAATTCGGTCGAAAGGTTGTGGCTTTTAAATATTAATTTCACGCTCACTTTTGAAAATTCGGTCGAAAGCAGAAAAATTTGGCCATCCAGTCGTCCGGCCAGTTGACCAGAACAGTGCAATATATTTTTTTTTTTTTGCAATTGACATATGTTAATTTTTATATATTCAACAAAAAATTTTTTTCGAATTTTTCAAAAAAAATTATGAGTTTTAATAGAATTTTGAGTTGTGTGTTTAGTTATGAGTTATAAATTTTGTATCAAATATCATATGTCACATCAAAAAATTTTCACTCAATTCAAAACTCATTAACCAAACAAATTTTTCACATTCAAATCATAATTCCAAAACTTACAAATTCAAAATACAACTCTATTCTCAAATCATATTTAGAAAACTCTACCGAACGCAATCATAATAACTAAACTAATTCGATATTTTTCTTTTGGGTCTGATTTCTCTCCAGTCCCAGATTGAACTGGAGAGTACTATTGAGCCCGTGGAGCTCACCACGGGTCCCGTTTCGATAATCCGAATAGTTCAATGTATAAAACCCGTCGAATACTACATGCATGTAAAAAATCATATTGATCGGATATCGATAACTACGTGGTTAAATTAGTTTTGTATATAAAAATAAAAATAAAAAATGGTGAATTACACTAATAGTTCCTACAATTTGGGGCTTGTGTCACTTTGGTCCTTGACTTTTTAATTGTGACACATTTGACTATGAATTTTGAATCTTGTTCCAAATAAGGACAATTGAAGATATCATTAGATTTTTCAAGAGTAAAATCGTCAATTTGATAAAATATAAACTAATTTGAAAAAAATAAATGTCAAACAAATATTTTTGAATTTTTAAAAATTATTTCTACCAACTAAAAATAAAATTATGTAAAATTAATAAATCTTTTAGACATTTATTTATTTTTTTTTACCAAATTAATTTTTATTATGTGTTTGGATGATGATCATATAAAATTAATTTTAAAAAATTAATCATGCAATTTTTATTAATTTTTATCAATTTTACATAATTTTATCATTGGTGGATAAAAATAATTTTAAAAAAATTAAAAATATTTTTTTGACATTTATTTTTATCAAATTAGTTTATATTTTATTAAATTGATGATTTTGTCCTTGAAATTAAACAATAGTATCTTCAATTGTCCTTATTTGGAACAAGATTCAAAATTCAGGATCAAATGTGTCACAATTGAAAAGTCAGGGACCAAAGTGACACAAGTCCCAAATTATAGAGACCATTTGTGTAATTTGCCCAATAAAAAAATAGACGATGAAAAAATAAATAGTTGACAGAAATTTGATCCGATGAAATAGCTATCGATATCCGATCAACGTAATTTTTTACAAGCATATAGTACTCGACAAGTTCTACACATTGAACGGTTCAAATTACCGAAACAAAATCGGTGATGAATCTTCATTAACCAAACAATACCCAACAATCTGATCTGAGACTGGAGGGAGGTCGGTCCTTTTTTTTTTCAATGCTTAAATTTTGTGTTGAGAGAGAGTAGAAATGTATTGTACATTTTTTTTTGGGGGGGGTCGGTCCTTTTTTTTTCAATGCCTAAATTTTGTGTTGAGAAAGAGTAGAAATGTATTGTACATTTTTTTTTGGGGGGAGGAGGGGGGATGGTTGTGTTGGAATCTTTTATTCTTGCAGTGATTTATAGGGAAAAGGAAGGGAATTTGATTTGGGCAGCAGCTTGGGTTGTGCTCCTTGTTGGGGGCTCAATTTGGCTCATTATATTATTACAATTTTATTATGATCAAAACAGTTACAAAAGAGATACATAGATAACTCTTACTCTCCTCAAACTATATATACATATATATAGAAACATGTTACGAGCAGAAACACTAAAAATAGCTTTACACCTCAGTTCAATGTTTATGGTGATAAAGTGTTTTATATAGGTATTTTGTAGCTTTTGATTATAAACATTAACAACAAACAACAAAATAGTTTATGAAACAAGTTAATCGCTAGAAAGCATCATGAAGACCAAAAAGGACAATCATTTTGCTAGCAAAAAATTGTAAACTTATTATTATTTTATAAATGTTTCAGTGCATAGTATAAGGATGCACAACAATTTTTCTTTTTTCTTTTTTCTTTTTTTATAAGCAAAGGTTCTATTATCCAAAAAAAAAACAGGAGAAATTATTACAATGCAGCTCAAGACACGTACCCTTAGGTACACACGGCGGATAGGGCACCCTACTCAGTTCCATCACATTTGTAGACCACAAATTTCTCCAAGAGGCGCTTACATTTATCACAAATTGTTGTGTCTTTCAATCCTTCAACAAATTGTATAATATTAGAGTGACTGCAAGGCTCAACAAGAAGAGGTGGTTCGATTGCAGTTGTAATCGCACCCACTAACCCTAACATGGCCACGTTTTCTCCCCACACTGGAAAAAGATCCATGCATTCCATAATTTTTCTCCCTTGAAGCTTCAAAGTCTCTGTCGAAGACTCTTTTCCCAGTAGTACCCAACCTTTTTCACTCTCATCATTGGTGTCTAGTAACTCTGACAACTGTTTTAGAATCTCATCTTTATGATCATCTGTATGTCCTAATCGGAGTTTTGATCTTCTCATGCTTTCCAACCGAAGCCAAAAGAAATAAATCTTCGTGCAAGTTAAAGAACTTGTCAGCTTTTCCTCATACATGGTGGCTAAAATGTTTTTCATGTGATCATCACTTGAATTTTTCTTGCCAACATAGACCATCTTAAGCTGCAGTCCTGCACTTGTCATGTTCCTCATCTTAGCATTGAATTCTCTAATCCAATCTATGTTGTTGCTTCCATAAATGCAAATGTTTTGGTCCTCTTCTACCTGAAATTAATGTGTGATTGGTACAAAATTACAAAAAAAATCTTGAATAAATCAAATCTTTGTTCGAAGTGTTGATTTTACTTTTATTTCATAATCTGCTGCTATTTTTTCTATTTCATTACTAAACTATAGATTTCGTCTATTATAATTTCTTACATCAATTCATAGAATCCAATTGGAGACGGTCCGTCTAAATTAATAATGGAAAGAAACCTAACTTAATGAGCAAAAATGTAATTTTACAATTTGGATAACTTAAATTAGACAACCAAACGCACATCTTCTTACTCACATTTTATTTGACTACTTACATCCTACAACCAAACACTCACCTTCTTTTCCACCTCTCATTTCAAAATAGTGAGTAAGAAAAGTGAGTATATGGTTAAATGGTTTGAGTTAGTCAAATTTTGAAATGACTTTTTTGCCTATCAAATTAGGCTTTAACGGTTACTGATTTAGACAACTGTCACCAATTGGACCACATCACCTAATATTAGAAACTCTAGGGAATAAATAGATTAAATTGATAGTTTAAGGATGAAATAGAAAAGAAAGCCATAGTATAGTAGAAAAAAGTGAAATTAACCCTTGTTTGAATTAAGGATGCCTCAATATAAAAGTTGAATCGAAAGCATACCCACTTTGCTACCAGAGGATCAATTCCGTCAAGTAATAGTTGGAGATTCCAAGTTTCTTCTTCCCATAGCTCATTTTCTCTTGAAGTAGAAAAGGGAAAGGCCATGGCACCCCAGATCAAGGCCATGTCAATTGCATTTAAGTTTGTAACCATACCTTGTGTATCCAATACTACCATTAAGGGCTTCTCTTTGAAATCCCATGCTTGTTTAATGGATTTCACCACTATTGAGCTGAGTAACCATGGTCGCCGAATTGAAAACCATGGTAGTGAGTTTGATAAAAAATCAAAATTTTGTTCTTCTACATCAGTCCACGTATCCGATGATGGAATGGGAACCCATACAATTTCATAGCTTCCTTGTAAATTCACCCGGTGAGGATGATCAAACATCTGTTGCACCAGCAAGAGTAACACTTCTATAGGGAGGAGCTCTGGCCTTGAGACCAAGAGTATCACTACCTTGCTTTTCAGTTCAGACAACGCAAGCTGTCAAATAAATCCAAAGCTCATTGTTATTTAGTGAAGTAAATGGCTAATGAAGGATTAGAATGTTTCTGTTTTCGACATCCCAAATATATAGTTCTATTGTATACAACAAAAATTGCAAATGAGCCTCTGGGGCCACAACCACCATGTCAACTTTGATCCCGACCACTCACGATTGGTTATATAGGAAAAAGTGCGACTTGACGTGCCAGGAGTGACAATGCATTAAAGCAAAAATGGTTTTAGCTAAAGCAGGACAATCAACTGTGAACGATACTAGAAATTTCTAGAGAAAACCTACCTTTGCTTGGGAGGAAGAATCCTTCAGAGGCAAGCTATCCTTCAAAGCAAACAACATCTCAAGCACCTCTTGGTTATCAATATGGCTCTCCTTAGAGAGATCCAAGAGCTTGTTATGCTCTTAAGCTGCAGTCCTGCACTTGTCATGTTCCTCATCTTAGCATTGAATTCTCTAATCCAATCTATGTTGTTGCTTCCATAAATGCAAACGTTTTGGTCCTCTTCTACCTGAAATTAATGTGTGATTGGTACAAAATTACAAAAAAAATCTTGAATAAATCAAATCTTTGTTCGAAGTGTTGATTTTACTTTTATTTCGTAATCTGCTGCTATTTTTTCTATTTCATTACTAAACTATAGATTTCGTCTATTATAATTTCTTATATCAATTCATAGAATCCAATTGGAGACGGTCCGTCTAAATTAATAATGGAAAAAAACCTAACTTAATGAGCAAAAAAGTAATTTTACAATTTGGATAACTTAAATTAGACAACCAAGCACACATCTTCTTACTCACATTTTATTTGACTACTTACATCTTACAACCAAACACTCACCTTCTTTTCCACCTCTCATTTCAAAATAGTGAGTGAGAAAAGTGAGTATATGGTTAAATGGTTTGAGTTAGTCAAATTTTGAAATGACTTTTTTGCCTATCAAATTAGGCTTTAACGGTTACTGATTTAGACAACTGTCACCAATTGGACCACATCACCTAATATTAGAAACTATAGGGAATAAATAGATTAAATTGATAGTTTAAGGATGAAATAGAAAAGAAAGCCATAGTATAGTAGAAAAAAGTGAAATTAACCCTCGTTTGAATTAAGGATGCCTCAATATAAAAGTTGAATCGAAAGCATACCCACTTTGCTACCAGAGGATCAATTCCGTCAAGTAATAGTTGGAGATTCCAAGTTTCTTCTTCCCATAGCTCATTTTCTCTTGAAGTAGAAAAGGGAAAGGCCATGGCACCCCAGATCAAGGCCATGTCAATTGCATTTAAGTTTGTAACCATACCTTGTGTATCCAATACTACCATTAAGGGCTTCTCTTTGAAATCACATGCTTGTTTAATGGATTTCACCACTATTGAGCTGAGTAACCATGGTCGCCGAATTGAAAACCATGGTAATGAGTTTGATAAAAAATCAAAATTCTGTTCTTCTACATCAGTCCACGTATCCGATGATGGAATGGGAACCCATACAATTTCATAGCTTCCTTGTAAATTCACCCGGTGAGGATGATCAAACATCTGTTGCACCAGCAAGAGTAACACTTCTATAGGGAGGAGCTCTGGCCTTGAGACCAAGAGTATCACTACCTTGCTTTTCAGTTCAGACAACGCAAGCTGTCAAATAAATCCAAAGCTCATTGTTATTTAGTGAAGTAAATGGCTAATGAAGGATTAGAATGTTTCTGTTTTAGACATCCCAAATATATAGTTCTATTGTATACAACAAAAATTGCAAATGAGCGTCTGGGACCACAACCACCATGTCAACTTTGATCCCGACCACTCACGATTGGTCATATAGGAAAAAGTGCGACTTGACGTCCCAGGAGTGACAGTGCATTAAAGCAAAAATGGTTTTAGCTAAAGCAAGACAATCAATTGTGAACGATACTAGAAATTTCTAGAGAGAACCTACCTTTGCTTGGGAGGAAGAATCCTTCAGAGGCAAGCTATCCTTCAAAGCAAACAACATCTCAAGCACCTCTTGGTTATCAATATGGCTCTCCTTAGAGAGATCCAAGAGCTTGTTATGCATCTTTGTCTCTATAAGACACATAAGGGTGAAAATATGAAATTCAAAGTTGATAGTGTTAGGAATCGAAGAACACCTAATCAAGATCGGTGAGATACAAAAACAAAGAAGAACAAATAAACAAGGATTGTAAATCACATGCACACACAAGATTTTTGTGGTTCACCCCAAAATTAGGCTATAGATCACAAGTGAGTAAATACCCTTATTTCAAAATTCGGGATTAGTGTCCAATGCTTATCATGATCCAGATTTTCCAACAAGTAGTTCATTTCAACATTGAAAGGCTTCCCAAGGTTTTGAAGAACATTTACCTATCAGCTTATAACAAGCATCCACCTGCCGCCTGAGGTGACTGCTTATGGTGCTCAACCTACCCACCAAGCTTGAGAGCTCCCATGAAGCAATGGTTACTGAATTTGAATGCCTGTAAAAAAAGCAAAAAAAAAAAAAAAGAAAAAAAAAAGCATATTACTTCATTATAGCATACAAAATACCAGTCACAAAAATTAATATTCTTCATTGGAAATAAATTGAATTCATCACATTCATAATTATCTTGTGATCCCTTGAATATTCAATAGAAACAATAAAAGTAGACAACAGAATTCAGTATGTGGTGACCAGATTGAAGAGAAGGAACATGCACTTGCACATTTTTCATGGCTCTCAAGTCTTTGATTTGGGAAGAGCATATCAAGGCACTTCTAATGATCCAGTAAGTAGCCATGTAGATCTGAGAGTTTGTAGTGCCAATTGCCTCACAATCCAGGATCACATGATTCACCGGCAATTCTTCGAACTCAATGATGCACTTTGTCAAATCTACAATTGTTTTCATCAACACATTCAAGACCTTAAAAAGATGCTTCAACAAGCACAAGTCCTTGGGCAACTGCTTTAGCAATGCAATAGATGTTGCCAAGGGATTGCAAGGGTAGAGCTGCATTATGAGCCAAAATTCACCATAGCTTGTTGCAAAAGCTGATAGCACTAAAACTGCTTTTGCATCCCATTTGTAATGCCCTAGCATGTCAAACAAGACCATTGTCTTTGCGTGTGGATTCCCACCCATGGAGTAGTTGAAGAGTATCTGCAGTCAAAATTGGTATTATGCATCCATGATTCTATATGACACGGAATCCTCTGTTTCAAATTTTCCTTTTCTCCTATTCCAAAATACTCATAACTATTGGATCATGTTTCAGGATTTCCGCATCTTGAGATTCTCATATGATACAATATTTGTGGGTGTTTTCAGACAAGGAAATAGAGATTTGGAGGTAGAAAATCCTTAGCCAATTCTATATATACATACAACAAAAATACCGATCTTGATCCTCTCCATTACATCATCAATGATTGTGAAAGAGTCACATCAAGATACCTTTATTTCATTCAAAAAACAGTTCAGGAAAATCAAAAATTCAAAATAACATTACAATTACATACTGTTGATTTGACTTTTAATGACATGTTGCAACCTTATGCATTGTAATGGAGATCTCCATTATAATCATGTAATGACATGTTGGGAATGTTGTGCTTGTTTTCTATAAGCTCGGTTTGTTTTTTTGATGGAGTAGTTTATTTTGTTTATTTTTGTGCTCCCATCAAAAGCTGTGTGTTGAATTTCATTGTATATTTTTCCTTTTTTGGTTATAATATGACTTACTTATCTAAAAAAAAAAAAAAAAAAGAACGATCTAAATCCCAACAACACTATGTACCCTGCAAATACTCCAAAAATATGTCCAGAATTTTAAATGTGTATCAGATTTATTGTGTGTGAGCCATAGATTCAAATTTTGGGCACTTTTCTGAATATTTTTTCTGGGTACATAGAATTCCAATACATATACATAAGAGAGAGGGAGAGAGGAAATTACCCAGTGTGAGACTTTATAGATGGTGTGTCCCAGTGTTTCTTCTGATCCAACCACCTCAATGTTGCATATGCCACTCTTTGCAATGGCACCATCTTGTGCATCGGAAACCTGAAGCAAGGTCTTTGGTGCTAAGTAAACATTTGAAGTGGACTTTAAGCTATCCATTCAATTGTGCTTAGTAGTGTGTAGAATATTTGAATGCTGAGTTTTGTGACGTTAGTTAGTAATAGTGGGCCTGCAATGTAAGCCTTGATGGTTAACAACTTTGATTAATCGTGACCTACCAATTCAGACTGATTAAACAAGCAAACCATTACAAATTCAGAAACTGTCAATCCTCCTTTCTTTGAATCAAATGAAAAACCATAGACTTATTCTCGTTTTTTTTGTTAACGTCAGTAGTTCTTCAATCTACTCTCGTGTCTCTGAAGTTCATGATCCGTATCACGGTGCAATATACTTTATTAAGGCACTGAACCCTTGAATGGAACAGTAACTCTTGGACCCTCACATATGTCTTGCCGTTGGCATTTCTGGTGATGCAGTTCAATACACTGAAACAACCTCACCAGAAATGGAGGAAAGGCAATGTATGCCCACTCCAAAACCCATGTTAGCGAGACCCTCGTGCACTGAGTCACCTGGACCCTTTTTAGTTTTCCAGATCATCAACAGAGGTTACTAAAAACTAAATTTTATAATGTCTAATTAACCACTACTATATGATTTATGTTAGTGTGCAAGACCATTGACATATAAATCATCAAATACCATACACAATAAGCATATAGACTTGGTTGAGAAGTTAATGGCCTTCTGAACATCTCCTTTTGCTTTATAGCTCAAAAACCACAACACGTTCGCATACTTTGCTTAGACAAATCATATTCTCATATTCTCTCCGTGAAACAGTAGCTGTGCCAACCTCTAACAGTCAACAGCTGAAGATGTTGGTATGCCGAGACTTTCAAAAGTAGAGTTGAATGATTGAATCATATTTCAGGCCGGAAAATGCTGTACAAATTAATAAAATTTTAAAAAATTTCCTACTCGCAAATAAACTTTAGAATTTGAAATGGAAATCATTAAAATAATATGACATGTAGTAAAAATTTATAAAAGTTGATCGTTTGTATAAAGCATTATTGTTCACAACAAATCATATTCTCATATTCTCTCCGTCAAACAGTAGGTGTGCCAACCTTTAACAGTCAACAGCTGATGATGTTGGTATGCCGAGACTTTCAAAAGTAGAGCTGAATGATTGAATCATATTTCAGGCTGGAAAATGCTGTACAAATTAATAAAATTTTAAAAAATTTCCTACTCGCAAATAAACTTTAGAATTTGAAATGGAAATCATTAAAATAATATGACATGTAATAAAAATTTATAAAAGTTGATGGTTTGTATAAAGCATTATTGTTCACAATAGTACCACAATGATTCTAGTGAAAAACTAAGAAGGTACCTGAGATTTTATGCTTTGTCTTTCACATTTTACTAGACAATACATGAGGAATAAAAGCTAAATAATCATTTCATGTGGACCCTGTACTATTTCTTGGACAGCAATGTTACCCAAAAAAAGTGTCTAAATTTAAAATGTTGATCATATTAAAAATGTGACCCATATCACATCAAATTTAAATCTACACCACACATTCAAATTTTGAGTATTTTTTTAAATGATTTTTTAAGCATATAGTATTTCCATTTCTTCACTTATAAAAGCACACTGTAATCAGAAGAGCAATACCACAATCTCATTTCCATTAACCCAAATTTCTGAGGAAAAAAAAAGGTAAAGATTGTTGTCCAATCTTCTTGGCATGTAATTCGAGAGGTCGACAAAAGCAAAGGTAGGAGGCGAAAAGGAGAAAAAAGTCTCTTAGAAGTTTCACTATCATTTGCTCCAACGGACAACATTATGCACCTAGAAAAAGTATTTCAAAAATAAAATGTGTTAAATAAATTTATTTTATATTTCGGTTACTTTTCAAGATTTTATTTTTTTTAAAATAAGGCCTCGTTTGGCAACAGGCCAGTTTAGTGAAAAAGTTATTAAAAAAAGTCAAAAAGCCAATGACCCATACCAAAAAGTCAAAGATTCTCTTTTCTATCTACTTTTTGCACATCTTTTCATAAAAAGTCAAAAAATTATTCCAAACATATTAATTTTTTTAACTCATATTTTAATCAAATAACAAAAAAATTACTAAATTAGTATGTTACCAAACAGGCCTAAGTAACTTTTTCGATGCCAACTAGTAGTAAATAAAGAATCACGTACGTAAAAGCCGCAAAGAGCTAAAATACAGTTCATGATTAAAAGCATATCAAGTTGCTTTAAAATCTTGACCTTGAAGTCCATTGTGACCTTGAAGACAAACTTAAATGGTTATAAGAGTAAATGAGATTCTGGGGGACCTTATATTATATTCCATTTTCTTTTATATTGATTACTTTTTCCATTGCCATTATGCCAAAAGCAAAGCAACATTTCAATTCTCCATAAAAATTTTAAAAAATAAATAAATATTTAAATTCAAGACCAATCCCCTCACAGCTTAAAAAATTGGGTGACCACAGATATAAATATCTGAAACTATACCTTTTTTCAATGTCCTAGTCTTTATCCACTAGGCTCTGTTTGTTTCAGAGTTAAAATGGGGGCAATTTATAATGAGAGGATTAATAGTGTGATAATTGTTAGTGAGGTGATTAAGTAAAATTATGTTTGTTTTAATAATAGTTGTTGTAGGAATTGTTAAATTATTTTTCTATAAAATAATAAAACAAATAAAAAAAATAAAATCATTAAACATTAATGTTCAAAAAAAAATGCCCAACATGTAAAAAAATAAAACAAAAAATTTCTAGAAAAAAAGTAAAATAAATAAAACAATGATTTTTACTTAACAAAAAATATAAAAAATTAAACATTAATGTTCAAAAAAAAATGCACAACATGTAAAAAATAAATAAAAAAATAATTCAGTGGACTATTTTTCTAATACCACATTCACCTCTTCCATCACAACCTCCCGTCCAAGGCCTATCCTAATACCAATGAATTAGAAGTCCCCTCTCTATTTCTCAAAACAAACATAATATATAGTGGGTCTTAGCTCGCTATCAATCACAATCTTCTCTCTATAACTCCAAACAAACAGGGCCTAGTTGTATTCTTGAACAAAAGCAATAGTGATAGGATGGATAGAGCTGACGTAACCAGTCAGCTCTATCTCTTTCTTTTTTGCACGACTTTATTGATCAGAAATATCACATACACATACTTCGAGACTACAAAATAATTTTGGAGAATCTAAATTTTCTACCATGGAAGTTGTATTTGTATGCTGATGAAGAAAAAAATAATAATTTGTTTGGGGTGTCCTAACTAAGTGCACTTTTTGTCTTTTTAGATTAAAAAGTTGAGGAAAAAAATATGGATGTTTGGGTTAACTTTTAGACTTTTTACGAAAAAATGTGTATTAAAAAATTATATAAATAAGTGTATAGGAGAAGTTATTGAGTAACCCGTATAGTACCTACGCATTGTAGGTGGCTGGTTAGAGATGGAAAATGGTTGCCTCCTTTTCGGGCTTGAATTGGACGATGTTGTTCAGCCCGTGTGGGCCCACCACGGGTCCCGTTTTGCTAACCAGAAACGTTCAATATGTAAAACCCGTTGAGTACTATATGCTTGTAAAAAATCACGTTGATCGGATATTGATAGCTATATGATCGTGTTAGTTTTTTGTCAACCGTTAACTATAACACCATCTATTTTTTATACAAAACTGATTTAATCATGTAGCTATCCATATCCGATTAACGTGATTTTTTACAAGCATATAGTACTCAACGAGTTCTACACATTTAATGATTCGGATTATCAAAACGAGACCTGTGGTGGGCCCTCATTGGCCCAACATTACCCTCCAATTTAATAAATATATATACCTTTTTTTTTCCCCCTTTGACAGCCTTTCCATCAATTTTCAGTACCAGTCACGTCTTTGTATTAAAATATGTAATAAATTAATTTTTTTATGTTTTTAATTTGTGAATAGTGATAACTTTTTAACTTTTTTAGTGACTTTTTGACTTTTTAAATTTTTTTAGAGATGCCAAACTAGGCCTAAATAAAGATTTTCTTTTTGCCTAATCATCCTTTATTATTAGAGCTAGTTTACTTTTCATGAATTAAGGGTATCTCCAATGGTTGAATAAATTTTTCACTAAATTTGAGTAAAAAAAAAGACGTTTGGCTCAATTTGATATCAATCACTCCAACAGTATATTGTAACTTTCATCAAAACGCACTCGACGTTCGGGGGGACGACCGGCCGGTCGATCGAAAGAGCAAAACCTGTACAATTTTGTAGTTGAATTTTCAAGCTTGAGGGTCATCCGGGGGGTCGACCTCCCAGTGTAAAATCTGTACAAAATTTTGTCAAAATTGGTCATCCGATGGGTCATCCAATAATGAAAATACAACAGTAATGAATAGTATTTTGGTGAAAGATCCAGCACATTCTTATTTTGGTAAAACTTTTGGTGAATTCTCAATTTGATATCCATTTGATGAAACCATTGGAGCCATAAAAATGATAATTTTTCACCAAATTCAAATCTGATGGTGAATTTGGTTCACCGTTGGAGATGGCCTAATGAATCATCCATCCGGTATGAATAATATTAAGGATCATGAAAAAAATATTATGAAATATATCATGAAAATTTGTCATCCTTTGATTAGTGTGTGATGTTTTATTGTATGTGTAATTTAAAAATGAAGAATCTTTTATGATCATTTTCATGATATTTTTTTTATGATCCTAGCATTACTCATCCCATATTCCTCCCATCTACAGTCAAATTCCGTTTGTATGGGATGATTTGGTAAGAAATAAATTGATTAGATATAAAATACAAAGAAAAAAATCTCACTCATGACTCATAGTCCACTCTTATATTATTTATTTATTTTTAGTCATCCAACACATGATAATTAAAAAGGTTAATTACATTTTACTCCTTATCCTTATGGTTTAACTCAAAAACATGTTACCTCTTGTGATTAAGAAAGGAGACATTTA